ATGTATGTATGTATGTATATAGGTATGTGTGTATGTATGTATGTATGTATATATGTATGTATGTGTGTATGTAGGTATGTAGGTATGTAAGTGTGTACGTACATGTGTACGTATGTATGTACGTGCGTATGTATGTATGTATGTATGTATGTATGTATGTATGTATGTATGTATGTCGTGTACAACTATGTATACAATGCATAAACATGTTCATACAAGTTAATAATAAATAAGTCAGTTTCTGAATGTATCAGTCGATGTACAAGTGTATTTCACGACGAGGAACATCAAAGGCGATACTTTTGGAAAATAACTTGATCCTTGAGAGGACGCTGGATATGGAGAAGCATTCACATGGAGGCCTGTAGACCTATATTATTACTCCTCAGGGTTTAAGTACACCTACAGTGATATAGTGTAACATACCCAGAATATTCATTCCAAGTCTTGGTGCGCACATCGTATTTCCCGGACTTCGTCGGTTCATGTCTACTAGCCCGTTGGACTACTAAGGAAATCACATTTCAACCATACCCGGAAGTTCGTACTACAATACATCAACACTGAATAACTCCCAAGTAGAACCGTTCTGTATAAAGCCCGATAAACACCTTGACAACAAAAACCGGAATTCTCAAAGGCGACCTCCGAATAAACCCTAAACCCTTTCAGCTCCTGAGTGCGCTCGGCGTAGCCGCGCAGCTGCTGTTGTAACCTGGGGAGACGTCTGCGCTCGGGGTTTGGGGCGGAGTCCTACTCCTACTTAGACAGAACCCTTGCAATATCAGCAATAACAACAGTCATAACAACCATCATCATCATCATCATCACCTTCATCATGCTAAGTGGACTGCGCAAGCCAACTGCTGCTACAAAACCCTAAAACCCTAAACCCTAAAACCCTAAACCCCAAAAACCCTAAACCCCTAAAACCTCAAAACCCTAAAACCCTAAAACCTCAAAACCCCAAAAAACCCTAAACCCTAAAGCCTAAACCCCTAACCCCTAAACCCTACAGCCTAAACCCGAAACCCTAAAGCGACCCACCATGCCTCGGGGCCTCCGTTCAAGGGGCCTCAAACCTGAAACACGAAACAGCGCTGCACCTGAGCCAAATACTGAACAAGGTTTAGGGTTTCGGGTGCAGGGTTTAGGTTTAAGGTTCAGGGTCTAGGGTTTAGAGATTAGGGTTGGGGTTTCGTGTGAAGAGCGGAATGTTGTACATGCATGAACATACGGCAAAACGGTGGCGCATTCTATTCAGCCGTGTGGTGGTCATTATATGTAACTTCACAACTAGGTGGATGTTTGCTGGTCTTAAAATTGGTCTCTACCTTAATCGCCACTTACATGATCATGATGACCACGGCGATTATGGAAACTATAGTCCTACGCCTCTGATTTAGACGCAAGTCAGAGTACGTCAGTTGCGCTGCCCAAGCATATGCCTTTGGTACGCATCATGACCAGTCGCTCACTGCAAGTAAATCTCAGGTCCTCTATAAAACCAGAACCCCAATGCCCAAAAACATAATGTCGCCCTTATTGTACTATCTCTATATATAGCCCTACAGCATCCCCAATGAAAGTATAAACAATTCACCTACTAAGACCCCTCTCATATCCCATATGGGTACTTCTCTAAAGCAGGGTCCCTTTTCAAGTCCCAAAAATAATACGGCACCCTTATCAAAAGGACCCGAAAGGCGACCCCAATTTAGAGACCTGCCCACATCTCCACCGAAAGACTCCAAACATTTTCCCCGAAACCCTAAACCCTGAACCCCAAACCCTGAGCCCTGAAACCCCAAACCCTATATAAACCCTAATTTCCACCGAAAGACTCCATCTCCTCCCGTCTCAGCTCCACCGCGCGGCGCTCCCTCACGTCGGTGGCCGTCTGCTCGAGGTCCTCGGGGTCTACTAAACCCTAAACCCTAAACCCTAAACCCTAAACCCTAAAACCCTAAACCCGAAACCCCTAAACCCTAAACCCTAAACCCGAAACCCCGAACCCTAAACCCTAAACCACAAGGGTTTTGTAGGGGTTCGACCAGGGTCCCACAAGGGATTGTATAAGGGTTTAAAAGGGTTTTAAAGGGGTTCTACTAGGGTCCCACAAGGGATTGTATAAGGGTTTCAAAGGGTTTTATAGGGGTTCTACCAGGGTCCCACAAGGGATTGTATAAGGGTTTAAAAGGGTTTTATAGGGGTTCTACCAGGGCCCCACAAGGGATTGTATAAGGGTTTAAAGGGGTTTTATAGGGGTTCTACCAGGGCCCCACAAGGGATTGTATGAGGGTTTGCAAGGGTTTTATAGGGGTTCTACCAGGGTCCCACAAGGGATTGTATAAGGGTTTAGAAAGGTTTTATAGGGGTTCTACCAGGGCCCCACAAGGGATCGTATAAGGGTTTGCTTAAAGGGTTTGGGTTGACGGTTTAGGAAGTTTAGCTGTAGCCGACAAGACCCACCTTTTTCTGGTTCCTTATGATGGTTTCTATATATAACGTCTTAAAAAAGGTAGGTCTTTCTGGTGCCAGGAATGGTTTCAAGCAGTTTGGGAGATGTGAAAATGAAGTAAGTGGGCTGATTATAAGTCCCCTAATTTTGGCTATACAACTATAGCTTCCCTGCTTGTACCTACACTTATAACTACCCACGACCCCGCAAGCAGAAGTCCGAGCCCTCGGCCCACAAGCGATCGCGGTGTGTCTCTGTCGCCTTCTCGCAGCTGCCCCGCACCTTCGCAGGCGATAGTGTCTGCTCGCAAATGGCTAAACCCTAAACCCTCAACCCTAAACCCCTAAACCCTAAACCCCGAAACCAAAAAACCCTAAACCAAAAACCCCTAAACCAAAAACCCCTAAACCCTAAACCCTAAACCTTAAACCCTAAACCCTAAACCCCTAAACCCTAATTTTCGGGGCTTCACGGAGTTGCTTTAAGACGAACTTCCTGGCAAGATCCGGAAATCCAGCAGGGGTTTGCGGTTTAGGGTTTAGGGTTTAGGGGTTTAGGGGTTAGGGTTTAGGGGTTTAGGGTTTAGGGTTTAGGGGTTTAGGGTTTAGGGTTTAGGGTTTAGATCCATCGATGAAGCCATGATCAGTCGATCACTCAATCAGTCGGTCAAACAATGAGTCTGTCTCTCTGTCGACATACCTATTCTTTTCTACTTGACTATCTATCTGACTATCTATCTAGCTATCTATCTATCTATCCGTCTGTGCCCCCCTCTCTCTCTCTCTCTTTGTTCCCTCGCCCTCTCCCTCTGCCTCTCTCTCTCTCTCTCGCTGTCCGTCCGTCCGTCGGTCTGATTGACTATCCTATCTGCCAAGGTCGCTAAGCTGGGCACCTCCCGGATAGCTTGGATCTCCTTCCGCGCGGTGGCCAAGCTCTTCCAAACCTCGGCTCGCGCCAAATGGCCTACGGTTACTTGGAGGTTCATGGGTAGTTATAAAGGGGGTTATAAGTCCCCTAATATGGGTTTTAACTATAGTTACCCTACTTATAACCCCACTTATAACTACCCATGAACATGACAGGTTTCCGGGGCTTACGATTAGGTAGAGAGTTAAGCATGGACAGTTGTCTGTAGGGTTATGGGTATTAATCCTGACCCCCCACATTCAAGAAACCCCTTCTGTTCTGCCCGACCTTAAATAGAACGTGCAACCGAACCGCTCACTCCAAACCCTAAGCCCTAAACACTAAACCCCTAAACCCTAAACCAACCAACCAACCAACCCAAACCCTGCCGAACCACCCACATATGAGATTCCGAAAATCAAGAAACCTGCAACCCTCACTTCCACCCCATGCTAGGCCATTTAGGGTTTAGGGTTTAGGCTGGGGTTTGAATCCCTACACCCTAAGCCGGTAAAACCCTAATCCCGAACCTCTCAACACCTAAACCCTTAACCCTTAACCCCAAACCCTAACCTGCCAAAAAATCCCTCTACACCCGAACCTTCAAAGCCTAAACCCCAAACTCCTAAAGCCCTAAACCCTAAACCCTGACCCCACAGCAATTTGGCATCTTCTGCCCCACCTCCTCCAACTCCTTCTGGGCCTCGTCCGCCGCTTCGGCCCAGCACCCGGAGCTTTCCGACTGCCGCGTCTCCTGAGAACTGAGGCTGGGCTTCACTGTAGCGGAAAAGACATACCTTTTTTTAGGGCTTCTATACATACGTAGTTCGGCCACAGGTGGGGCTTGTAATCTTTATGAGGGTTTGAGGGGTTTGAGATATTTTTTAAGGTTTGGGGTAAAAGAACTCAGGCTTGGGGCTTAGGCTTCAGGGTTTGGTGTTTTAGGGCCTAGGGTTTATCAGGATTTGCGTCTTGAGGTTGAAGGCCTATGGTTTATTAGGTTTAGGGTTTAGGGTTTAGGGTTCAGGCTTTGGGGTCTCGGGTTTAGGGTTTGGGGTTTAGGGTTCAGGGTTTAGGGCCTTGATAATGGGGAAGGGGGGCTTAGTTCTTGGAGCAGGGTTCCTGAGAAGGGTCGCTATCACGGGTTCTGCAAGAGCTCAGTCTTACATAGGAGCCTTACTGGTAAAGAATAGTGTCTGGGGGGTATATTACGGTATATGCAGTGTATTTAACAATCAGGAACCAAGGGAACAATGCTGGTATGTATTTTGGTTTCTATATATTGATTCGGGGGCTTAGGGGTGCAGGGGCATGTTAGGGCTTGGGGATTCCTCAGGCAGAAGCGAGATCTGAGTCCTTAGCCCCGCCCAACCCGTAAGCCCTGTCGCAGACACCGAACGCAGACCAAATCAGGCTTAGGATTTACGAAGGTTTAGTTTAGGGTGTAGGGGAAAGTTTACGAAGGTTTAGTGTCGTGTTGGCTTCAGGTTTTAGGGCTTGGGGTTTGCAATACCTTCAGCCTTCAACCAGTAAGGGCTACTCCAAAATCACGTCCAAACAACGCTGCCAAGAAACAGAATCTCACCAAAAAAGCTTTCAAGAACCCAGAATCAACCCTAAACATTGTAAGGCGTATAAATTAAATCATGTCCGCCCTTGTAAACCCGATATAAGCCCTAAACGCCACCAAGTGGCTAGGTCGTGCTGCTGGCCGGCCAACTCCTCCAACTTGAGCCGCCAGAGACTGCGGCACCGCGAAGCCTCCGCCTTCGAAGACTTCCGATGCCCGGCTTTGACTTTTTGGTGATTGTAGGATTTTCTCAGGGTCCAGGGCTTTGGGCTTAGCATTTAAGCATGAAGGCTTCGGCTTTTGTTTGCTCTTTCTAGACAAGTGCCTCCATGTCAACTGAGTCGAGGCTGCTGATGCTGTTGTTGTTGCTGCTATGAAGACGACGACGACTACTACTACTACTCGTACTGCTACTACTACTGCTACGACGACGACGACGCCGACGACGACAGCTAGCATTCGTCCTACTACTATGAACCTTTCATACTAGCAGTGTCTGATGAAAACTGGCACCCTAGACGCTTACACTGAAAAGCCTGAACCTTGGCATCTTGACAACATGTTCGGAGGTGGTCTAAACCCTAAACCCTAAACCCTAGACTCTAAACCCTAAACCCGAGACCCTAAACCCCAGACGCTAAACCCCAGACCCTAAACCCTAGACGCTACACCCCAGACCCTAACCTCTAAACCCCAAGGGCATGCTCGGGCCCTTCGCGAACACTGCGACTTACGGACTTTGGGGTTGACGGCTTTGGGTTTAGGTTTGGGGTATTGACCCTAGGGTTTAGGGTTAGGGTTTAGGGTTTAGGGGTTTAGGGGTTTAGGGTCTAGGGTCTGGGGTACTGAGCCCCTAAACACTAAAACCTACACTCCAAAGGCCCCTAAAATCTGTAGTTTATCCATCTCTTCGGCTTCAAGGCATCTGAAGCTCGTCCGAAAGTTGGGTCAGTCGTCGGCAAGAGACTACCAGGTGGGCCTTCTTTGAGTTTTTGAGGCTTCCGGTTTAGAGGTTTGGGTTTCAGGCTTGCTTTGACCATAGGGTGCACAAACTGGCCGTCGTGCAATGCAATCAAGGCACTATCATAAACCCTAAACCTTAAGCCCTAAGCCCTAAATCACTAAACCCAGTATCATGGGGATCCATTCCCCCGTTCCCTAAGAAACAGGGAGCCGTGCCGGCCTGGAGATCGGCCGCCTTGGCGCGAACTTGCTGAGCGCATGCCTGCGTCCATAGTTTGTGCAGACCCAAAGAGTCCAAGGCCAGTTAGTTGCGTAAGCTTGTTTAGGAAACCCGCGTCTGGTGGAGTCCTGACAATCAGGATGAATACTTGGTATACGGGGCCTGTTGTAGGGTTCCACATTTTCTGAAACTCCAGTAGCGGGCCAACGTTTCGATGTCGGCAGCTGTGGGTTCAATTCCATGCATCAGAAATCTTCGCGTGGCTGGCGCCTCACGTAAGCTTTAGCATTTAGGACCTTAGGATGTAAGTAATATTGAAACATCGTCACCGGCAAAGTGAGGAGCAATTTTAGTACCCGTCGAGTCCAAGTTCAACGATCTCGGATGCGATTTTGTGCGCGCAGCCAACTCCCTCAACCAATATCCTACACTCGACACCCTCAACCCGGTACGAAAGATGAACGAGCAACTCACGCTTGTAAACTCTAAAGCCTAAACCCAAACCCTAAACCCTAAACCCTGAACCCTGAACCTCCTCCACGCGGGTGATTTCGGAAGGAAGCATCTCACTGAGCGCTTCGGTCCTCGGAGCAAAGAGTGTGTCTCGGTCTCTCAAAGGATGTACAACCTGTTGCTTGTTAGCCAGAGTACCTACGAATTGTCGCAATGCTGCCGGCTGTAATACTTCGTTGAGAGCAACCTCATATGCATGTTGATTTGCTTGTCGTTGCTGCTGCTGCAGCTTTTTCGTGGTGGTGCTGGTGCTGGCGGTCGTCGTCGTCGTCGTCGTCGTCGTTGCTGTCATTGTTGTCGATGGTGTCATCGCTGTTGCTGTTGCTGCTGCTGTTGCCGCTGTTGTTGCTTCTGTTGTGGCTGCTCTTATTTTTGTTGTTGTTGTTGTTGCTGCTGCTGCTGCTGCTGCTGCTGCTGCTGCTGCTGCTGCTGCTGGTGCTGTTGCTGTTGCTGTTGCTGTTGCTGTTGCTGTTGCTGTTGCTGTTGCTGTTGCTGTTGCTGTTGCTGTTGCTGTTGCTGTTGCTGTGGCTCTGGCTGTCGCTGTCGCTGTTGCTGTGGCTG